ACCAGGCTGGAGTGCAGTGGCACGATCTTGGCTCACTGCAACCTCCATCTCCCGGGTTCAAGCAGTTCTCCTGCTGCAGCCTCCCAAGTAGGGACTACAGGCGCGTGCCACGATGCCCCGCTAATTTTTGTATTTTTAGTAGAGATGGGGTTTCACCACGTTAGCCAGGATGGTCTCAATCTCTTGACCTTGTGATCCACCTGCCTCGGCCTCCCAAAGTGCTGGGATTTCAAGGCTGAGCCAACACGCCCGGCCACAATTTCCTTTCTCAGCCATCGCCCCAATAAAGAAACACCGCTACAAATGCCTCTAGCCACAGCCAACTGAAACAGCATTCTGGACACCTTGGTTTGCCTTTGTAAACAGGGCACACTGCACACACTTGCACATGCCACACTCAGGCACACTGCTGAGAGATGGTGGGTGTGACGAGGGCCCTGAAGCCTTGAGGGCCACAGAATGCTTGAGGCAGCATTATCCTCTAGGATCTTGTCCTGTGGCAAAATGAAACTTGGAGTATCAGGAAATAACAAAGCCAATCCTGAAGCTCTGATGTTTTGACCACAAAAGGAAATGTAGGCACAGTCAGCTGCCTAGAAAAGGGGGAAAGGGCCGGGCACGGTGGCTCACACCTGTAATCCCAGCACTTAGGAGGCCAAGGCAGGCAGATCACGAGGTCAGGAGTTCGAGAGCAGCCTGGCTAACATAGCGAAACCCGGTAGCTACTAAAAATACAAAAAAATTAGCAGGGGATGGTAGTGCGTGGCTGCAATCCCAGCTACTCAGGAGGCTGAGGCAGGAGAATCACTTGAACTCAGGAGGTGGAGGTTGCAGTGGGCCCACATTGCACCTCTACATTCCAGCCTGGGTGACAGAGCTAGACTCCAACTCAAAAAAAAAAAAAAAGGCTTTTTTGGAGACAGCGTCTGGGGCCAAGCCTGAAATGCAGCGGTGCAGTTAAGGCTCACTGCAGCCTCGAACTCCCAGGCCCAGGTAATCCCCTCACCTCAGCCTCCCAAGTAGCTGGGACTACAAGTGCACACCACTACACCCGGCTAAGGTGAAGGCATCTTTAGAGAAATAAACTAATTCTAAGTGGACTCTGATCATACCTCTCCATATGGTATATACATTTATTGATTATACAGCAAATGCTGGGGGGAGAAAAGATTCCCTGGGATCTCACAACACTGAATTATTTCACTGAGATTCTGCAAAACCAGGAAAACAATAAGTTTCAGCTGATAAATACATGAAATGTCAAATACTATGAAGACTTTTACTAGCCCTACTTAGAATAATCAAAATCTGTGAAAACATAACATAGATACCTGCTCATGTGATTAAAAGGCTTTCTGCTTTCATATCCTATTCTTACAAACTCAAGAACCCGACACAAACTTCAACCTCCAGATAAAGAAGCAGTTTAGAGGCTGGGCACAGCGGCTCACACCTGCAATCCCAGCACTTCAGGAAGCCAAGGCGGGAGGATAACTTGAGGCCAGGAGTTCAAGACCAGCTAAGGCAACATAGTGAGACTATCTCTACAACAGAATGGAAAAGTGAAAAAAAATTGCCTTTGGAGATAGAAGTTTGAGGGCATTTTGAAGACTTTTATGTGCCGAGAAATTTCAAGCTTGAAAGATCAAGAGGCAAGAAAAAATAAATATATCCAGTATTTTGAAGGATCAAGGGATCAAACTGCTCATTTGACCAACTGGAGACTTACAGGAGCATTGGAATGTAGGTCAGATCCAATGTGGATAGAACATAGCTCTGGGCTTTTAAACCCATTTCTCACTGGGAACAGGATTCTGAAAGAAAATGGCAGGTGTGTGAACAGGTGTAGGGCCCACATGATAGGCCCTGTCTGGCAAATGCCCACCAGCATTCTACACCAAATGGAGAAACAGACATGGTTCCCTGTCTCATGGCTCCCCTGGGCTTACACTACGGGGCACATTACAAGGGAATAAGCGTACCCACCACAAAGGCAATACCAGAGCTTGGGCCAGCGGACAGCACAGTAGCCCTCACACTGCTTATGAAGAGGAGGTCAAACCTCGCCACCAGAAGCCCTGGGGCAAGAGAGAGGACTTGAGGGGAGGAGAGGACAAGCATGTCTCCTGCCATCGATGACAGACTCATCAGCGAGAGCCAAACCAAACCCCTCAATGAGTCACACAAACTGTGGATTTCAAATTGAAATCGACAAGGAGCATGGAGGCTGCGATTTTCCGGAGTGCTGCTTGCTGTGCCAGGAATGTTCCCATGGTCATGTCAGGGTGCCTGGATGGGGCTTCACTCTGGGCACCAGAAGCTACTGCTCAAATACCACGTCCTCTTCTCAGGACAACCAAAAGCTGGGGAGAGGAAAGGGAGAGGACCCAAGGGAACGCAACCCTGACTTCCCAGAAGGATGAAGCCATGGATGCCACAGCACCCGGCTGGGCGCCGAAAGGGATAACGTGGTGTGGGAGCGAATTACAGAAACTCTCTGGGCAGGAGCTGAGGGCCTGAGTGTCCAAACAAGATACAGCCTCCTCTTCCTGATCCCATTCCTTTCCTCTTCGAAAGATTCTTTGTGTGTTTTAAATTCAAAGGAAGGGTTTGGACAAAAGGGAGGCTGTTCCATCCAGAAAGCACGTACTTGTCAGAACAAGCCGTCTGCCAGGGCGTCTGGCAGGGAACGGCTGGGGGCCATGGGCTGACTTACCCGATCAGACAATGGCAGGGGCCCAGAGCACCTCCCCACTCTGAATCAGAAGAAGGGCATCCCTCCACTGTTACCAGCTCCTCCATCTCCACCAAAACAAACCATGCATTTCCCTTTCCCACGTTCCTGGACCGAGAAGCAGGTGTGGTCTTTTGCAGCAAGTTGACATCAACAGAAAACACATTCCTGGGGCCTTCGGTTCCCATTGACACATGCAGTTTCTGAGGCTGAATTACACCTGACCTCTGGGTCAGGCCCTGTTTACTCATCCGCATAACCCACTCATTCATCAGATAATGACCCAGTCCTTGGATGTGGCTCTTGCTTGGCCCCAGGCTGAGTTGGCAGGGTGTCAGGGAGACCTCCCTCCGGGGGCTCACGGGCTGCCCCGAACTGGTGATGATAGCACCCGGGAGGGCCTTTGTATGGTATCTACTCATCTAAAATGTGCCTCTTCTAACCCCCACCTCCTCTTCATTTACTTCCTTTCATTCATTCATTCATTCATTCAAAGGATAGATATTGGGTTTCCCTGGTGCCAGTCTCCACAAAAAGTTTTGAGGGGAACCAGGCTCAGTGGCTCACACCTCTAATCCCAGTGACACTGGAGGCTGAGGCAGAACGATCCCTTGAGCCTGAGAGTTCAGGACCAGCTTGAGCAATATAGTGAGACCCCACGTTTACAAAAAAAAAATTTTTTTTCTTGAGACAGGTTCTTACTCTGTTGCCAGGCTGGAATGCAGTGGTGCAATCTCAGCTCACTGCAGACTCAATCTCCTGGGCTCAAGTGGTCCTCCCACCTCAGCCTCCTCAGTGGCTGGCACTGCAGGTTCACACTACCACGTGTCGTAACTTTTGTATTAAAACAACTAACTTTTCTATTAAAACTATTTTTTTTAATTAGCCAAGCATGGTGATGATCCACACCTGTAGTCTTAGTTACTCAGGAGGCTGAAGCAGGAAGATCACTCAAGTCCAGAAGTTCGAGGCTGCAGTGAGCTATGATTGTGCCACTGCCCTCCAGCCTCAGTGAAGAGAAAGCCTCCAACTCTAAAATAAGAAAACACATCAAAAAACAAAGGTGTGGAGGATGTAATGGTGAACCAAAGCTGGCCTGATTCCATCTCCCACCTAACTTACCTTTCAGTGAGAGAAGACATCAGAAGCAAGCAAGCAAATAAATAGGCTAGTTGCATTCTGTGAATAAGGAGGGCCTCGGAGAACCTGAAGACTGGGGAAGGGACACAGACCTGAGGGATGAAGGACAAGCGCATGTCAGGGCCGGGCCCCTGGGGTGGGGAGCCCAAAGGCAAGCCGTGCTGGGGGATTCAGGCTGCCGGTGTGAAATGAAGGCTCAGCCAGACGAGGTATGTCCTCGCTCCTCAGACACAGGCACTCTCTGGCCCAGAGCAGGATGGCCTCAGGCCTGGCCTCCACCCATGGGGCTTCCTCCTCTGAGGCAGAGAACTTTGAAAAGAACCCACCCAGGTGGCTTGCTTCGAACTCTCCCGGAAAGGCAGCAAGTGTGGCTTGCTACACTAGGCAGAGGACATTCTGGTGGCTCATGATAGACCTGATTTCTTCAGGTGACACCAGGGGTCAGAGGCTGCTGATCCTCCGGTCACCGTCCCCAGGAGACTGCCGCCAGAGATGGTGGCCAGTCAGCTCCTGCCGACACTTCCTGGGAACTGCACCATTGCCTTACTCGTGACCCCACATAGAACTTGGGCTCTTTTCCTTGGGAGGGGCTGATGCACACATGGCCAGGGTCCTAGGCCTGGCAGCCCGGCTCATCCTCACTTCCAGAAGCTCCCCTTCTCCCTGCTGCGTGGGACCAGTGCCAGGCCACACCATGGCTTGTCTCAGAGCAGCGTGCCTCCCTCCTGAACGTCGCAGCTCCGCGTGCTTCCCGAGATGACTAATGACCTTGATTCACATTGGTGAAGTAATGGCTTTCCTCCTCAACCTTCTCATCCATTAGTCACATTGCGACACAGCCCTGCACGGTACGGACCACATTCCCAGGAGCCAGCTCAGGGGATTGCAAACACCTCCCAGGCTTGGCTTACCAAACGCACTGTCACACAATCAGCCCAGGTGCCCGGAACTACCTTGGCCTACTGCCACCAAAGTCCCCACCACAGGGACTTGGGAAGGTGTGAGAGCAGAGGCCAAGGACTGGGGCCCAGGTGCAGGTCTCCCCTTGCTTTGTGACTTTGGACAAATGACTTAACCTCTCTTAGCTTCTGCTTCTGTACATCACCAATAACAAACTGGGCACTGGGGAAAAGCAAATTAGAAAATGACTGTGGAAGCCCTTTGTCGGCTGTTATAAAGCGCCATACAAATGACAGTGGTTCAGTCCCATGGAAAAATCGGTCACGATGAGTGGCCTCTGGGTCATTACCCAAGCAGTGAGTTTGTTTGTTTGTTTGTTTGTTGAGACAGGGTCTTGCTCTGTCGCTCAGGCTGGAGTGCAGTGGCACAATCACGGTTCACTGAAGCCTCAACCTCCAGGCTCAGGTGATCCTCCCACCTCAGCCTCCTGAGTAGCTGGGACTGCAGGTGCATGCCAGCCCACCTGGCTACTAATTTTATTTTTTGCCCTTGATTTTAGCCAAAAGGCTGAGACGCGATAGAATTGTGTCTTCTGTAGAAATGGGGTTGTATTGTGCTACCCAGGCTGGTCTCAAACTCCTGAGCTCAAGGGATCCTCCTGCCTCAACCTTCCAAAGTGCTGGGATTACAGGCATGGGTCACCATGCCCAGGCATGTAAAGATGGTCATTTCTATGAGGGGTAGAAATGATGTCCCTGAATCCATTTCTGGGACATGGAAAGACAACTACATAACACAATGTTTTTAGTACAGGTTGAGTATCCTTCTCATTGAGAATGCTTGGGGGCAGCTGGGCACAGTGGCTCACGCCTGTAATCCCAGAACTTTGGGAGGCCGAGGCAGGTGGATCACTTGAGGTTAAAAGTTCAAGACTATCCTGACCAACATGGTGAAACCCTGTCTCTACTAAAAATACAAAATTAGCTGGATGTGGTGGCGCACACCTGTAATCCCAGCTACTCGGGAGGCTGACGCATGAGAATCACTTGAACCTGGGAGGCAGAGGTTGCAGTGAGCTGAGATTGTGCCATTGCACTCCAGCCTGGGCAATAACAGTGAAACTCTGTCTCAAAATAAAAATTAAAACAAACAAACAAACAAAAAAGCCTTGGGGCAGAGGACGGTGGCTCATGCCTGGAATCCAGCAATTTGGGAGGCCCAGGTGGGAGAATCACTTAAGGCCAGGAATTCAAGACCAGCCTGGGCAACATGGCAAAACTCCATCTCTACTAAAAATACAAAAAGTAGCTGGGTGTGGTGGTGAATATCTGTAATCCCAGCTACTCAGGTGACTGAGGCACAAGAATCACTTGAACCCAGGAGGTTGAGGTTGCAGTGAGCCGAGATCGCACCACTGCACTTCAGCCTCAGCAAAAGAGGAAACTTTAAAAAAACAAATAAATACCTTGGGAATAACAGTGTGTTGGAGTTTTCATTTTTTTGAATTTTCAAATATTTGCATAATATACTTATCAGTCAAGCATCTCAAATCCAAAACTCCAAAATCCAAAATGCTCCAATGAACATTTCCTTTGAGCATCAGGCTGATGTTCAAAAGGTTTCCATTTTTGGAGCATTTCCAATTTGGGGTTTTTGGTTTGGGACACTCAACCTATATATAAGTAAGTAAGCTTCCTGTGTAAAATCTAAGAAACAAACCCCATGCCACATTGTAATAAGATGCCAAGAAATGTCCATAGATGTATGTACAGTGCATCCTCTGCCCCAGAATCATTGCTTGGAGACTTGGGATTGGAAGCTACATTGCATTAATGGCTGTGAGTTGAGGTCGCAATGAGATACAGTAGGTGGGTTCAACCGTGGGCTCGGACTTGGGTGGTCCCAGCTACTTGGGAGGCTGAGGCAGGAGAATCGCTTGAACCTGAGAGGTGGAGGTTGCAGTGAGCTGAGATCACACTACTGCACTCCAGCTTGGGCAACAGAGCCAGACCCCGTCTAAAAACAAACCAACCAACCAGTGGGCTCAGGCCATTTTCACTGATGCAAGTCATCTTATAGCTTCCAATGCATATACTAAAGGAAGAATTAGCAAGTTTTTCAAAGCTGCTTACCAAGTTAATGGCCAAAAAGAATCCCTGCCCTCCTGCCTAGTGGAACTCCCTTTGATCGACAGCTCTTGCTGCTCACATGGGCCCATCCCTTTCAAAATGCCTCTTTTTAGAATAAATTGCCAAACTTTTACCATTCCATTTTATCAAACAAAAGAGAGGCAGGACTTAGGTCCTTTCTCCTCCACAGGTAATAAGATCAGGCTAATAATGGCCAGGCACGGTGGCTCTCGCCTGTAACCCCAGCATTTTGAGAGGCCAAGGCAGGCGGATCACGAACTCAGGAGTTCGAGACCAGCCTGGCCAATGTGGTGAAACCCTGTCTCTACTAAAAACACAAAAATTAGCCAGGTATAGTGGCAGGCGCCTCTAATCCCAGCTACTGGGGAGGCTGAGGCAGGAGAATCGCTTGAACCCAGGAGGCGGAGATTAGAGCGAGCCGAGATCATGCCACTATACTCCAGCCTGGATGACAAGAACGAGACTCTGTCTCAAAAAAAAAAAAAAAAGATCAGGCTAATAATGTTGTTCAAGGGCAAATCACCAAATCCCCGAGGATCTGATGTGAATGGCAGGGAGCTGGATAGGAAGGGACAGCAGGCCAGTTGGCAGCAGGGTATTCTCTGCACCCCATGCACCAACCCCAGCTGGTCTCCTTTCCTCGATGGCAAAGCACCATTAGCAGGCCTCCTCCAGCTCTGGGAGCAGGAGTCTTGTCATTGAAAATCATGGGGTAGGCTGGGCACAGTGGCTCGCGCCTGTAATCCCAGCACTTTGGGATGCAGAGGCGGATGGATCACGAGGTCAGGAGATCAAGACCATCCTGGCCAACATGGTGAAACCCCATCTCTTAAAAAAAAAAAAAAAGAAAAAGAAAATCATGGGGTTTAGACCAAGCACAGTGGCTCACACCTGTAATCCCAACACTTTGGGAGGCCCAGGTGGGAGGATCATCTGAGGTCAAGAGTTCGAGACCAGCCTGGCCAACATGGTGAAACCCCAACTCTACTAAAAATACAAAAATTAGCCAGGTGTGGTGGCGCGTGCATGTAATCCCAGCTACGTGTGAGGCTGAGACACAAGAGTCCCTGGAACCCGGGAGGCGGAGGCTACAGTGAGCCAAATCCATGCCACTGCACTCCAGCCTGGGTGACAGAGCGAGATTCCGTCTCAAAAAAAAAAAAAAAGAAAGAAAGAAAATCACAGATTTTGAGCCCTGGGAGGCTTGGGCAAATTGAAAAGCAAGTGTAGGCCTGGCGCAGTGGCTCACACCTATAACCCCAGCACTTTGGGAGGCTGAAGCGGGTGGATTACTTGAGGTCAAGAGTTCAAGACCAGCCTGACCAATATGGTGAAACCCCGTCTCTACTAAAAATACAAAAACCTAGCCAGGCATGGTGGTGCATGCCTATAGTCCCAGCTACTCAGGAGGCTGTGGCAGGAGCATTGCTTGAACCCAGGAGGCAGAGGCTGCAGTGAGCAGAGATCGCGCCACTGCATTACAGCCTGGGCGACAGAGCGAGACTCTGCCTAAAAACAAAACAAAACAAAAGTGCAGCTCATTCCTCTCCCTTTCTTCTCCATGATCTGAGAGGGAGAGTTTAAGAAATGCAGATGCCCAGGCTCCACTCACAGCCACTGAGAAGCAGGCCCTTCAGCCTGCCATGCTTAAGGCCACCCTCTTCACTTCCCTCTACATGTGGTCTTCCCCAGCGGTCCCCATCGCAATCAACAGCTCCGTCTTCCACCTCCAGCAAACACCTGGAGACTGTCCTTAACTCATCCCTCTTCATGCCCACATCCAATCAATAAGAAAACAATGCCAGCACCACCTTCCAAAGAAATCCTGAATTACGTATCACCTCCCCTAACATCCACAATTACACATGGCCCCACAACCAACAAGGTCCTCCCTACAGAACCACAGCCCTGCTCAGCGCCCTCACATCCTCTCTCGCCAGCATCCAAGCTTTGGACAGGCCACCCTCATTCCCCTCTCCAGCCTTTTGTCCCAGTTGTTTCCTTCCCCTGAATGCCGGTCCCCCTGATCTAGCTCTTTCTGCCCTTTGGGGAATGGCTTGTGCAGATGCCTTCTCTGATCCCCTACCTAAAACTGTTGCTCAGCCAGGCACAGTGGTTCATGTCTGTAATCCCAGCACTTTGGGGAAGCTCAGGTGAGAGGATCCTTTGAGCCCAGGAGTTCAAGACCAGCTTGGGCAACATGGCAAAATCCCATTTCTACAAAAACATTTTTTAAAATTAGCCAGGCACCGGGTGCGATGGCTCACGCCTATAATCCCAGCACTTTGAGAGGCTGAGGTGGGTGGATCACCTGAAGTCAGGAGTTTGAGATCAGCCTGACCAACAGGCAAAACCCCATCACTACTAAAAATACAAAAATTAGCCAGGCATGGTGGTGGGTGCCTGTAATCCCAGCTACTCCGGAGGTTGAGGCAGGAGAATTGCTGAACCCAGGAGGCACAGGTTGCAGTGAACCAAGATGGTGCCACTGCACTCCAGCTGGGCGACAGAGCAACACTGTCTCAAAAATAAAATAAAATAAAATTAAGAAGTTGGTCCTCCTCTTACCCTCACCTCTGGCCAATCTCTGTCCCATTATGCATTTTTATTGTCCTTATAGCATGTCACTCTCTGAAATGATTGCTCCTTAATTTTATGTGCGACTGTCTCCCATGAGCACCGTAAAGGCAGGACCACATCCCCCGCAGGTATCACTGGAACGGAACAATTCCTGGGCCAGAACAGGGTACTCAAAAAGCATCTGTGGCCCCCTCCAAGAGTCCAGCAACTTCAAGCAAGCTGAGCAGGAAAGAGCACTGACACCTCCCGAGTTGCCAATTGCCAGTTTCAACACCTCGGACAGCGGGACCCACGGACAAGCTCCTGCCATGGCATCTGTGGCCTCCAGTGCTCAGGGAGAAGCCCTGGGCCTCTCTCGCTTCTGGCCTCCTTCTCTGCTGGGGCTGCCCCACTTTCCACAGGAGTTGGTGACCGGGCATGAGTTGGCCTCGGCTCTCCACGCCCAGAGCCACGGGCAGGAGAGCACCTTCTCCCTCTCTTGGCCTCACACCAGGACCGGCAGGCTTTTCAATTTCCCCATCTGCAAGACAAGGACAAAGAATGCTTTGTCACCCCACCTACTTCTCACGGGTGTTATGAAACAACTGTTTGCTCGGAAAACACTTTGAGCAACTTGGGGAAAGGTGCCTGTGGCTCAGATGACGCCTGCTGCCTTCCATCCAGGCCAGGGAAGGGCCACGCCAACTAGTCATCCAGGGACTGCCGCACCCACCGGAGGGGCGGGAGGCACAGCGGCTTCTCCCGTGTCTCTGAGCCTGTGTCACCAAGCCCGGTGGCCATGCGGTGATCTCACAATCTGCCCACATGGTGCGCGTGTTCCCGGGGCTGCCTGAGCCACTGGTTTCAGCAGAATCTGAGCTCTCTATGGGCCGGGGTGGCCTGCAAACGCCCAGCCTGCCCTTGGCCAGGAAGAAGAGCCGAGGGTCACCTGGGGATAACCTACCTGAGCTCCTGCCATGCAGGGTGGGGCTGAGGTCTGGCTGCCAGCATCCCAGGCAAAGTGCTGGGAACAAAGGCAAGTGGTCTTGGCGCCTCAGCCTGGAGAGGGCAGATCATAACCTGCAGGCAGGCAGGTGCCCCCTGAGCCAACAGCAGTGGCAGCAGCCGCCTCGTTACTATGACAACCACACTTGGCCACCATCACTCTGTCCCCAAGAGGGGCCAACTCCCGCCCTGACCCCGCAGGGTCACCCAGCGCTGCCCAAGGTTGAGAATGGAGAAGGACCAAGGCAAAGGCAGGCCGAGGGCCGACGGGCACACCTGCCCTTTGGTCAGTAGCTCAATCTTAGCTTCGGACTGGACGTTGGACTCAAAGGCAGGACCGGTCTCTCCTCTCTCTCTGCAGCAACCACCCCAGGCTGCTGCTTCAAGATAAACCCCTCTCCCTACAGGTGACTTCAGCCAGGCCTTTAGCAGACAGTGAGCAGCAGACAGCATGCATGTTTAATTATAACTCTCTCGCATAGGCAGGGCTGGCTATATACAGTATGTCTGCCTGTTACTAATTATATTTACTTTCAAATGAAAGGGGGGGAAATCTTCTAAAGATGAGTCAGAAAAAAAAAGTCCTTCGTTGTTATGAAAGCCGAGGAACGTCTCCTGAGGGCGTCTGGAGCAGCGCTGTCACCGCTGACAATGGAAAACCTGAGTGCCAATCCAGCCCACCCGGTAAACAGCGCATGCTGGCCTTCCTGGCCCAGCACCCCTTCAAGCCAGAGCCTGAACTGCATACCAAACCACAATCAATAGGAAAGGCATTCTCCCTCCCGGACAGAGCTGGCATTTAGAGCCTGAGCTGGCTCTTCCTGCAAAGACAGGGCGACTCAGCGATGTGCTGTCACCTTAATTGGGAGGCAGTGTTCCAGTTGAAACACAGCAAAGGTTTTTCCCTCATCAAAGGAGAAGCATTCTGACCAGATGGCTGAAATGAAAAGGCTTCATCCTCAGCCTCCACACAGCCAACGGTTTATTAATAACAACACTGTGAATGCCACAAATCACATGCGAACACCTAGAACCCAAAATAGTCACCCACATGCAGAGCAGAAGTCGTCCGCGCTTTGGCGGCGATTAGGTCATTGTACTAATTTCAGCTACACTCAGCCTCACACACACATGTGGACTCGCATCCGTGTCTGTGTGTCTGAGGCCTGCAAGGGCGAGGGGCCTGCAGCTGTTTGAGGGGAGCCGGTCCCCAGGCCCCACTCAGACATCAGCTGCCTCCTCTGATAAGACTGCGTGGGCAGCCCTGCCTCCTCTTCACACAGACACCAGGAGTAAGCCAAAAAGGGAACAGCCCAACCAGGGTGACACATCCGCCCGGGAGACCATGCACACACGCTCTTCAGAACGGGTTTTCCAATCATTTTTTAAACAGTCACACTTGTTTTGTTTGCTTTCTTCCAGGAAGTCTGCGCTGTTTTGGAAAAGTAGGGGGAGGACATTTTTTTAAATGAGTTCACTTCCCGAGTCTTTAAAATCTTTCCCCATAGACAGAGTATTGGGAAGCTGTGGCCAGAGGACAGGCAGTCTCAGGTGGGCGGCACCCGGGCCATGAGGACCAGAGCGTGTCCCCCCATGCACACCCTTCACAAGTCATCCGCAGGGGAACTGGCATTGGCAACAAGACAGCGAACAAGGGCCCGGGAGAGTGTCCCTTCCCAAAACCCCACCCCACTTCCCACCACCCTCCAAAAAAATGTTTTCTAAAGCCAGCTTGGAATTCAGAATGGGTTTTTCTGTTTGTCCAGGCAAGGTTGAATTATGAGATCATGTTATCCAAAAGAGAAGAGAAAAAGTAGATCTGGGAGACTGGTCACTAAAGATTTTATTAGGAAAGAATTACGAGGGCAGCCAACGTGAGCCAAAGCGCTTTTTCTCAGGCATTATTTTACCCGTTGCTCGTGGTCGCCCTATGAAGCAACTGGTGCACGTCTATTTCATAGGTAAGGCCCAGAGAGGTGAGGCGGCAATCCCAGGGGCCCTCTACCCATTCCCACAGGCTAAGTCAGCCTCCTGCTGTACGCCTTCTTAGCAATCTGACCATTGCTTCATGGCTGCAGTCATCAATGTAAGCAAAAGTCATTTGTAGGGTGAGTTGGCCTCTGTCTGTCACTCTCCATTAGAATGAAAACTCCATGAAGACAGGGACTTGTCTTGTTCACCAAGGTACCCAGCACTGGGCACAGTGCCCTGAGCACAGTAGCTTTGAAGTATGTATTTACTGAAGAGATTTTAAAAAAAGAAAGAAAGAACAGAAAAGCCAGGCGTGGTGGCTCGCACCTGTAATCCCAGCACTTTAGGAGGCTGAGGCAGGTGGATCACTTGGGGTCAGGAGTTCTAAACCAGCCTGGCCAACATGGCAAAACCCCATCGCTACAAAAAAAAAAAAAAAAAAGCCAAGAGTGGTGGCTGGTACCTGCAATCTCAGCTACTCGGGAGGATGAGGCAGAGAATTGCTTGAACCCAGGAGGCAGAGGTTGCAGTGAGCCGAGATCAGGCCACTGTACTCCAGCCTGGGTGACAGAGCAAGACTCCATATCAAAAAAGCAAAAAAGAAAAGAAAAAGGCCAGGCATGGTGGCTCACACCTGTAATCCCAACACTTTGGGAGGCGAGGGAAGGTGGATCACTTGAGGTCAGGAGTTCAAGACCAGCCTGGCCAACTTGGCGAAACCCCATCTCTACTAAAAACAGTAAAAATAAATAAACAAATAAATAAAATCCAGGCATGCTGGCAGCCACCTATAATCCCACCTACTTGGGAGGCTGAGGCAGGAGAATCACTTGAACCAGGGAGGCAGAGGTTACAGTGAGCCAAAATTGTGTCACCACACTGCAGCCTGGGCAAGAAATCCAGACTCCATCTAAAAACAAAACAGAACAACAACAACAAAAAAAACTTTTGTTCTGAAGCAAGAAAGAAGGCCCGAAAGAGAAACATGGCAACGCTGAGCATGCCAGCAGAACCCAACACCCAATTTCAAAACTGGCGCCACAAACCCTTCCAAATTCACAAAACGCTGGCCTGGAGGGCCTGGTACCTGGGCAGTGAGGTGGCCCTTGCACTTCCTATCAAGGCACTGGACAGTATGTCTAGGGAGCGTCCCCCCAACATGCAGCAGATGGGGTATGAGTGAACTTCCAACAAGTGGAGAATCAACGGCAGAAACAGCAGGGCTTCGTCCTGAAAGTAGCTTGAACGTCAAGGGCAGAGGCTGGCATCAGACCGATCAGCCCTGCCCATAATTCCCTGATCAGATGACAGATGGAAGCAATGCTCTAGTTTTCAGAGCAATGGTCCAAATTCTAGTTTTGCCTCACAAAGATCACACCCAGCCTCAAAGTGTGAGGACTTGGTCACTGAGAAAGCCTCCCTTTCCCACCCTGGCTTCCCCACTCCCCTTAAAGCCCTCAAACTTTTCTCAAGTGGACAATGAGACGGGAAGAGCAGCAGGCAGAGGAGCAAGCAGAAAAGGAGGGCTGGAAAGAGGAGGGGCCTCCCGCCGCCTTACCAAACCGAAGGCTGTGCTTTGGCGGACCTGCTGGTGTCTCGTCTTCCATCGTGGTTTAAGGCACAAACTTTTTTTTTTTTTTTTTTTTTGACAGAGTTTCACTCTTGTTGCCCAGGCTGCAGTGCAATGGCGCGATCTTGGCTTACCGCAGATTTCACCTCCTGGGTTCAAGCAATTCTTCTGCCTCAGCCTCCCGAGTAGCTGGGATTACAGGCATGTGCCACCACACCAGGCTAATTTTGTATTTTTAGTAGAGATGGGGTTTCTCCATGTTGGTCAGGCTGGTCTTGAACTCCCAACCTCAGGTGATCCACCTGCCTTGGCCTCCCAAAGTGCTGGGATTACAGGCGTGAGCTACCGCGCCCAGCCAGGCACAAGCATTTGTAAAGGCCTATTGGCTCATTGTGTGCCCAGCCCTGTCTTAGCACTAGGACTCCTCAGGAAAAACACAAAGCCCTGCCCTCAAAAGGCTTCCAGTCTCACAGCAAACCAAACAGTACAGCTTGGAGGTCTCCAAGCGCACAGACTGTTTGCCCTTCCTGGCTTTTCCAGTCTCCCAAGTCGGGGTGAGGAAGTTGTGCTGTTCCAGCCTCAAACCAAGCCAGGCACTCCTTCTGGGCCTCTTAATTTCTGAATTCTGCTGGGTCGAGGTTTATGAGAAAGTAGATCCAGTCAGTTCTAGGAGAAATAGAAGTGGGGAACTTGTAACACATCACCCTTAATGAGACCACACTCAATTCCTGGGTCACACAGAGTAAATGTTGACTGTTCGACTCATCACATCTCCTTTCCTCTGCTAAGTGGCCCTCTGGAGGCATAAATGCTGAGCCCAGGGCCTCAGCGAGTCAGGACTGCCCTGTGGGCACAGCGTGTAACACACACCAGAAAATGCCCAGAGACACACAGCTAACGCAGCCGTCACAGAGCACAAGAAGGCGTGCCTCCCACTGTGACGTCTCTCCAAAAGCCATCTGACTACAGCAGCTCACATGACTTTGTTCTTAGAGTTACATTTTAACTGACAAAGTTTAACAACAACTATGACTTATAGCCTTCTAAAATTGGCAGCAGAAAAATGAATTGAGGAAGTAATGGAAAAAAACACGAGAAGCCACTCCGAATCAGGCTCAGCTTCTGTTGTGCATGTGTGTGTGTGTTATGTGTATGTGTGTGTGTGTGTGTTATGTGTATGTTATGTGTGTGCACGTGTCATGTGTTATGTGTGTTGTATGTGTTGTGTTGTGTTGCTTGTATGTATGTGTGTATGTGTATGTTATGTGTGTACATGTGTTCTGTGTATGAGTGTGTTGTGTGTTGTGTGTGCATGTGTGCTGTGTGTTTATGTGCATTATGTGTATGTGTATTATGTGCTGTGTGTGTATGTGTATGTTATGTGTGTTGTGTATGTGTTGTGTATGAGAATGTGTTATCTATGTATGTGTATATGTGTGTAATGTGTGTTGTGTGCTGTGTATGTATATGAGTGTGTTATATGTGTTGTATGTGTATGTGTAGGTGTTATGTGCATGTGCATGTTGTGTGTTGTGTATGTGCATGTGTTATGTGTGTATGCGTCATGTGCATGTGTGTTGTGTTGTATTGTGTGCATGTTATGTGTTGTGTGTACATGTGTGTCATGTGCATGTGTTATGTGTATGCATGTGTGTTGTGTACATGTATGTGATATGTGTGCATGTGTGTGCAGGTGTTGTGTGTTATGTGCATGTGTGGTATGTATGGTATAGTTCTGTGCACGTGTGTTGTCACGTGCATTTGTGTTACGTGCATGTGTGTTGTGTGCAGTGTGTGTGTTGTGTGTGTTTTCTAAAGGTAGAAAATATTTTCCAGACACACTGTC